GGCCCCCCCACCCGGGGGGGGCCCCTGCGCCGCCGGCTCGGCCCCGCCGGTGCCTCGGCCTAGGGGAAGAAAAAGTATAAAAGTGCCTTGAGTACCAAAAGGTCAGGATAGAGCGGGGTATGAAGAGAAAAGGAGAATTTGCCATTCAGATAGCTTTCTGGAATTTAAAAAAAAAAAAAAAGGAGGAAGAAGAGGTTAGAAATAAGTTGGAAGCTGAATGGAAGTTTGTAAGAGGAACAGAAAATACCTACTGAGATACTGACTTTAAACGGAAGGCCTCTGAATAAGTGTGTGGCTGTATATACGTCGGAGGAAAAGCCCTTTGCCTAGCCTTTGTGCGCTGTTTACGTTTGGATCTGTGCTCTCTCTTTAAAATACTGATTTGTTGGTATATCTGAGAGGCAGGATGGATTGTTTAATGAAAGTATAGTTTATTGCTTAATGCTTTTTGCATCCGTTTCTGCAAGCATTTTATGTAAATTTATGGAAACATGACTATAAAGTTCCCAGGACTGCAAAATAAAACACGAACTATTTTTGTTTGTTTCTGTCTTTCTGCTTTTGTTTTTCTTTTCAGATGACTTGGGATCAATCTGACTAACTGCAAGTACAAATCTGGTGGAAAATCATCTTCTGCTGTTTCTTGAATGGAGAAGCCAAAAGAGTTGGTGCAGATGATTCCTAAAGGAGTAGTAAATTTACATTTGCCTTCAGGTCGCGACGTTATTTTAAAATAACATTTGAATTGTTAGAAAACAAAAGCTTCAGTGTTTTTGTGTCTTGCTTTGCACAAAGTTTGGCAGACTTTCTCAAAATTCCCCCGTTAATGCAGTTTACTTCAGGCATACGCTAGCATACAAGTCATTTGTCAAAGTATTTCTTTATTGCCCCAGAGTGTCCCCTGTTGTCTTAACACTTGCTCTTTGCAAGCATGCACGATCACTAATGCTTCATTTTTTTTAAGAACTAGCTTGCGATCATTCTACATGTTTCTCTCACAATGACTGAAGTTAGGCAAGAAGTCAAAACTTAATATGTCTATGAGCTCTTGCCAGCACTTTCTGGATTCTTGCCTCGAACAAAGAACACAAGGAGGCCAATAAATGGCTCCGTTCCCAATTCAAATAAAGCATCATTCAGACTTGTGTTCCAGGAAGCTTTGTTTTTCATCACTCATCAGAAATATCAATGGAACTGTTTGTTTGTTCTAGCAGTTATTGCTAGCTAGTAAGAAGCTTCTGAAATTGTAAGAAGTTGTTGATTTGTTCAGTAGTCAGTTATGACTAACTGCCCAGATCATCATCTAAAGCAGCCAATTTGTAGATAATACATCCACAGTGAGCAAATGACTGGTAGCAATCCACCTTGACTGACTGATGAGTGGAATGGTCTAACTGAACAGTGATTCTAAGTTTCCCTTCTGAGTCCAAACAGAAAGTTTGAAATTATAAATCCTCATTCTGTTGAAACTGTTTCTGTTCCGTGGTGCAGTGCCTCGAGCTGCTAAATGGTATGGCTTATGGGAAGCAAAGGATAGCGAGAAGTGGCCAGGGTAGTGGGTGGGTTGTTCTGTCTCACTGGATCGGTTAATGGAATGAAAAGTTATGCAGTACTTAGGACTGTGAATCGAATTGGCTAAATGATTGTCCCTTTATTGTTTTTTGCAATTCAAAAGGTGAAGATCAACATATTTATTTATGATTGTCTCTTTTTTTCTGGACTTCTTTCTCCAGAAAATGAGCTACTTTCCTGAAATGAGTGAGATCTAGAGGAAAGACTTGCTGGATAGGAACATGAGCAGGATGGTAAAGCTCTTCCCAAAAGAATTCAACTTCTTTCCCAGACCTGGTGTCTTCCTGCAGAGTAAGTCCTTCTTAAAGCCTGATTTTCTTCTGGGCTTTCCTTTTTTTTTTTTTTTTTGACTATCAGATTCAAATTCTTCTCTTATTTGCATATTATAACAGACTATTTTTGTAAATGTACAATTAATTGCAATTTTGACTCTGCTGAAAGAAGAATTTGTTGTTAGGGATGGTATTTCTGGCAGTGTAGGATAAATTGTATTTTTTTTCTTTCTGGTCATTGCTTCTGTAAGCATTCGTCTGCCAAAAATATCTCCAGCCTTGCTAAGCTCTGGGACAGCAAGTGTCAGAATCATGCGCTTGTGATTCATGTCTTACATTTCTACCCACCTAACTTCCAGCATGATATTAGAAGCCCTTATTTCCTGAATGACAGACTAAGATTCATATATTGTGGCACAGGAAAACAAGTAGGTTTCTCTGTGTAAACTACTGATGGAAATGAAATCAGGAAAAGTAAGCGGTTGTTGGTTAAAACTTTTGAGATTGTAAATGTAGAGCACTGAAGGAAAGTAGTCCTGATTCTTTAATTTTACAGTGTTCTCACAATCTTATTTGCTGTCATAGTTAGAGTTACATTTTTGGAAAATTCCTGTAATAGGTTGAAAAACTAGGCCCAGGAAATCTACATTAGGAAGCTGCTTTAATGAAATTATTTCATAACTTATGAAGTGTGCCTCTGTTCCATTTTACTCCTTCTCATTGTTGTGGCGATTTGCAGGCCAGTAGCAGATGAAAGAAACTTAAGACTTATGTCTGTAAACTGGACTGACTGTCAGGGGAGAAGCATCTTCATCACCAGATCTGTGAAGGACAAAAAAACGGAACAGGATATGATCTGCCAGCTCAACACCTCAAGGGTAATCCTTCCATTCCCTGTTTCAAGATTACTGTTCTGTCACTGACCTAGTGTTTTAATATCCAGTTTAGCCTTGCTTTGATGTGGTCAGTCAGCCATAAATAGGATTCACTGGTCATTTTCTGTAGATTCATCACTGTCAAAAGAATTCATCACTGTCAAAAGAAAAACGTCTGCTTTACATACTATTGTGTAAACTCTTGTTCATAAACGATTTTTTAATATTTTGAGGTGGATTCACCTTGACAAGAATTCACACCATTCAGATGAATTGGACAAGGAAAACTTCATCTCTGATCAGGGAACGAGCACTTAAAAGGTGCTTATTTTTCATGAGTTCAGTTCAACCTTATCGTCCTGTTCCTTACAAGTCTCACAACAATGTGTTTTTGATTGGCACTTTAAGTTATGTCCCTAATGAAGTCTAATATACAAACCTCACTAAGCACCTAGCTGTCTGGACTGCTAATAATCTGAGCAACAGAACCTTCATTTACTTTTATTTATCATTGACCGTGGGGCACACTTTATTTTTATGAGCTAAAATTGTTTGACTTTGCATTGACCTCAGTGTTATGTTTTTGGGGAATGCTCCAAGGAAAGAATAGAACTCCATGAAAATCTGGAGAAGTTAATCAGAGGTGCAGGGAAGGACACATGGAGCCTCTGGCCTAGTGAAAAAGAAAGTAGGTAATTCGGATCCTCTTGAGCAGGAGGTAGGATAGACTTACCCATAGGCTCCTTCTCTGTTGTTAAACACAAAATTTGTCCTCTGTTCATTCTGTGAACTTCTAACACTTGCCAAGCTGTATAGGACCAGCTAAGGCTTGCTTAACTTAAGTGGAGAGCCTGAGTGCTTTTGCTTTAGTGCAGACTCAAGTTCTAGTTTGCTAAAAGGCGCTAGGGGCGTCCACCCCAGCAATACATGTTTACAGTAGCTTTCTCAGCTCAGAATTAGCTGGGCTAGACTAGTTCTAGAAGCGTATCAGGTATAGAAAAGAGTTCAGTAGGGATATCCACGAGGCTTACCACCTTTGCTCTGTGGGTTAATGAGTTACTAGTATTCTTCATGTGTTGCAAACAAGCTTATAAGTAAATCAGCTTCATGTCCTCTTTCCCAGCCTTTTATTATTGGTAGATTTAAGTTTAATCTGAGGATTTATGTGCTGGTGACATCCTGTGATGTGTTTATTATGAGGGCACTGCACGTTTTGCTACTTCGGTATACTCTGACCCTTTGTATAAGAACTCGGTAAGCAAACAAGCCTATTAACAGAAGTTAATGACAGTTCAATACACAGCAACCAGAGATGCAGAGAAACCATAATGGTTTGACTATCCAAAGTGTCTTTCTCCTGATCATCTCTAAGCACTTCATAAATATTAGTAATTCATCTTTGCAGCATCTGAGTGTTGTGAATAAAATTATGCACTGAATACTTGAACAGGCTCTGTAGTAGAAGATAGCAGTGTTACATAGTTCAGGTCAGTGCTGCATACAAGTTTCAGGGCAGTTAGTACTTCTATAAACCTGTACCAAACTGGTTTTCTATATTATTCTGGTGCCATTTTTCATAAGTGTTATTGTGAAAAAAGCATTCCAAGAAGAGGTAATCTTCGAAGGAACAAAATGCCTGAATACTAAAATACTTTGTTTTTCTTCTTTATGAGAAGAAGTCGTGGCTTGGCTGATGGCTGGAAAAGGTTCTGGTATGTAGTTCTGGATCATTCTAACACAGCATTAGCTCCACTAATAAGTCGTTGTAGAAAGGGGCCTAACTGAGAAAGAGGGCTTTCTTCCATTGAAACTGCTGATTTCTCAAAAGTGATGGAATGGGAATGCTGATGAGATTGCAGTGAAGTGAAATTGAAGCTGTTGAGCCTCATTTGTTGAGTTCTTTAGAGTAATGGGATCAGTATAGGGCTGATCATATTTAGTGCCATTAAATCTTCTGTGCTTAATTAAGATGCTTGTACATTATGCAGTGTGACCAGGATCATGTAGAGAAGAAGGAAGGAGGCTAATACCTTTCCAGCCTTGCATCTTGTTTCATTCATTTACACGATAGTGTATGCATACATCTGACAAATTGTTCCCTTTACAAGAACAGTGTTAGTTCTGCTAGAGATGAAGATTCTGGTAGTAAGGTAAAAGAGAGAGAACATTTCTAAACTAGTCTTGGATAAGGTAGTGTTTATCTTTTCTTATGTATCTTAATATGCATGTTTTAGTCTTAGAAGCTTGTCTTTGTTTCTCCAGTGCAGAGTATATTTTGTGCTGTTATGTAAGTGAAGTGAAGAAACTCAGATGAGTAACAGAACTGGACACCAAAATTAGGGGAAAACTCCACAAACGGAAGTTTGTACTCCAGCTTGACAGGGTAAAATGCCTTTGTTTTAGTTTTTGTCTTGAGATTAAATGCTTATCTACTTTTCCTGACTACATTGATTTGTCTGATAAGGTATTATTACTCCTTCCAAACTTTGCTGGTAATCGTAGGGCATCATGCTGCAGCAATTCTACATCTTCACTATGTTTGTTATCTTTGGCAGCTATGATAAGCAGTCTTATATCAGTTTACCTAGACATGATATGGAGGTTTCCCTTTGGATGTTCCGTCAGCGTTCTTTTTTTGCAAGTAATGAGATATCACGTATCTGGATAGTTCTGTCTAATATCTTGTCCACTCCTAGTAAAAATTAAATGATATCTGTTTATAGCAGCAAGAACTCTTAACAGTGCCAGCTTCGCAGCTGCAGTGCTGTTTTTGTGCAAGATGCAGCTCTTTGAAGATGATCCAAGAGTATACATTGCTTCTTTCCATTTTGCTTCCTAAAACCTTTCCTTCACTAGGAAATGGGATTGCTCCAACTCAGTAATAGTTCAAGCAATACAAGCTTCTAAGCATTAATGTAGTTAAAGTAGTATAAATATGCTGTATACAGGTTTACCTATTTCAGTAACGGGGTAGAAATACACCAGTTCAGTTGCATTTGTGTTAGCTATCAAAGATTTCCAGTGTTTTCCCTCTTTCTAAAAAAACTGTCCACTTTTAATAAATATATGCAGATGTATGGGTGTGATACTTAATGGATGAAATGGCTGTGGTTGGATATAGCAGGTGGTATTATCAAAACATAGATATCAGCACATCCTACTAAACGAGAGGTAGTGCTTACTTTGAAATACTGAGGTTGAGTCACACCACAAATCTAGTTGCTACAGATAAGAACTGTAATAAGTCTCTCCTTGATCCTGCATTAACTGGTCCCTTCTCTCAGCCTGTTGGTTGCTATCATCAGCCTCTTTCTTAACACCGGCTTGGAATCTTTCGGGGTCTCTTAACAGTCTGCTGTAGGATCTCCTGCAGTGTTCCCATAGGCAGAGAGTTGATGGGTGGCCAGCAGAGGGGGATAGACTACGCTGAATCAGGTGTGAAAATAGTGTGACTTGTTCTCCCAGACACATGCACTGAGCGTTTCCTGCCTGCAGGAGTCCTCACCTATGTGGACAGCTTTGCGTTCTTTGCGTAAAGAAGAATTTCGGCATTATCAGTGAGCCACAGTGGAAGTCACGCTTGCTAATGGAAGGGACTAACTGTGGTTCTCAGAATATAGCAAACGAACACCAGTTCCTCAACTACTCCCAGCAAGTCTTAGATTGGTATCAACTCTGCATTCAACCTTGTGGTTTTATGTGATAAAGCTATCCTACCGTTTATGCCACTTCTGAGTTTGGTCTGTGGTGTTTTGCTTACTGTCACCACCGTCAGTTCATTTGGCAGCTGTAAGCTCTTAGAATCCAGTCTTCAGATTACTTTAACAAGTAAAGGCTGGATTGCAGCAAACAAATTATGTATTCTTTTTCTTTCCCGGTGAATCATTCTCCAAAAGAAACAAAGGAGGGGATTGAGAGTAGGGAATCCATCATTTTATAACCAAAACAGCCCAGGACGAGTGAAAAGAAAAGCATAAGGCACTGCAGCTCCCTGCTAGACTTGGCAAAGCCAGACTCAGCTACTATCTTGGATGGCTATAACTCTAATCCAGGCCCCGAGATCATGCAGTACATGGTCACATCCCTGCAACCAATTAAGAAGTCAGATTAGCAAGTACCAAAACAGTAGGAGAACTGTATTCACAGTATTTTTTCTGTTTTCCAATCCCAGTCCACTAGAACCTTCGTCTCCGTATAAAGATACTAAAAGGCTTGTGGCAGCAGCATACTAACTATTTGGTGCAAAGAATGGCATAATGTGTCTTAAATTACAAACAATGGGAACTACAAATAACTGAGGACAAAGGCAGAGAGAAACAGGAGAAACTGGGTGGAAATATCCTCCCAAGAACCACTAGAATTCTAAAATAGCCAGATGTTATCGCTAAAATCAGTAACAGTGATCTAGTTAACATTGGCATTTGTCCTGTGATTCTGTGATTGTTACCCAATATTGGCATTAGATTTCAGAGTAGGCACCTGCAAACAGTAAGGGAACAGCTTGCACCTAGCTAACTTTTTTCTGATGTTTTCTGAAGACTCGTTCAGATGACAGTACATTTCATAGCCTGGAGATGATCTCTGCAGTCATAAGATATAGATGTTTAGAAGCTGAATGTTTGTTTCTCCATTCCTATGCTTTAGACAAGTATGGAAGTGAAAGCAGAAGGTGACTGGAAGACATTTTTAATTCTTGGAATAGTTGGTTTGTGTGCCCCCCGCTGTAAATTAGAGAAGTCTTAAGAGCTACTAAGGTGTTTATGCTCTGGCTACAACAGGCAGCCATGGTGAATGTGAGGTAAAATCTGAAATTCTTTCCACTCAGGAAGTGCTACTGTCTCTTGGAGAATCCAGAGCTGCAGTTGCTCTGTTGGCAGGAGGCAGACTGAACTTCAGAGCAGTCGGACATAATTTCAGAAACTCACGTGTCTTTAATTTAATCTTCAAGAACTCGTGCTGCTCTAAACTGCAGTTTGAATGGCCCGGCAACCGAGCAAAAGCGG